GAGCTGGTGTAAGCTGCTGAACTAGACCGCAACGAGAGCTGCTTATCATGATTCAGTGGGAGGCAGACAAGAGAGTTGGATCCAACCCCTCAGATTTCCATCACGACTGACCCAGCACTGTGACTGGCTTCACTCAGATACACTGCCTCACTCATATGCCTCTGCACCGGTGACTCAGCCACAGAACATAAAAGAGTCAACCGGAGACAATCATCTGTTCACCAAACATGATTTCAAACTTGGATTTGAAAAAAAGAAAGAAAAAAAAAAAGAGTAAGGTATATAATCGACCATGCTATAGTTGGACCTTCACAGAGCATGCTAGGCATGGTCATTTTCAAACAAACAAGTTCTTTAATAGATCAAATATTTTGTGAGACTATTTGTTGTACTACAATCTCTACATCCTGGAGTTTACCAGCACTTGTATGTAAACTACCACCCCTACTACATTCTGTAACACACAAAGAACGCATTTGTTACCCAACAAAAACAGAACATCACCTCGACAACCAGATATCAGACCGATGAATTATATGTGGTATGGTGATATTAAATATTACTCCATAAATGTGAGAAATGCACAATATTAAAGTCTGTTAAAACCACAAAATAAATAACTAAAATATTTCACAGCGAGTATCAGATAGTATTTATGCTTACAATGGTCATCCCTTGTAGTTACCAGTGTATACTGGTCCTCACTGGAAGCAAAACATTTAGTAAAATACGTAAAGTAACATTAAATGACTTTTTTGTTTCTAACAGAGTGAACATCTGCTCAGTATTATCAGTGCCTCAGCCACATACAAATAGATATGAGCTTTCATTTGTACTTGGCTGTCTAGCAGCCTGAACATAATGCAGTCCCAACAACCATGCTGCTTCTCACTCCGTTTGTCCTTGTATAAGTTACTTAGTGGAAAGGAAGGAAGCAGTGACACTCCAAATTTGCCATCCATAAACAAAAATAAATAAATAAAGTATAATAAAACACTCTGGCGCTGATGGGGGAACTGCAGATTTACCACAGATTAAGGCTGTTTTTTGCTGCTATTTGACTCAGACTAAGCTATCTAATAAGGCTGTCTAAAACTTGCATAATGCACTCAGCTAGATCATTTCCCTAAATAACAATATGCACTCTGTCTTTTTGCACAGTGAGAAAAAAAAAAACAGCGTCTTTTTTTGTTTGTTTGTTTGTTTTTTGTTTTGTTTGTTTTTAAACGCCACAATAGCTTTACGGTGTTTCTTGATAGGCATCGTGTTCAAGTGTAAAAGGCAGAGACATCAGCAAAGCACATGCACCAATCAGACATTTTGTACTTTATCCAACTTGTAGATTTGACTATAACTAGCCCTAGTTTATAAATTCATATGGTGTCTTTCTATTCCTCAAAACAAATGTTGTTTTCCCCCCCACATCTGAAATGTGTCTGTCTTTAACAAGCACCGTCTACATAAAATACTCCTCTGCATGCACGTGGCTGGCACACAATGCACAGTAGGATGCTGTGTTTACTGTGTTCATCTCCCTAGATGGCCATCCAACATCAGCCCCCTCTCACTGAGCTATAGGGAGGCATTGGCTGTACAATAAGTATCAGCACCACACTACTTATTACTCTCCTCCTGTGTTCAGGAGATATTACAGACATTTGTCATAGCTAAAGGTAGTCATCATGACCACAAAGAGGAGACTTCATTTATTTGATTCATTACTGGCAATACCAGTTCTGAAGGCGGAAAGTATCACAGGCCATTCCTATCTGTCGATAAACAACCAGCTACATCAAAAGGGATTAGAATTAAAACCAAACTGCAAAGATTGTAACTCAAAAGTCTGTTCAAAGTGGACTGGTGGACATCCTAACAAAAATGTACGCAAAAACTAAGGGAAGTGGTTGAAGACCTCTCGAAAAACAATTAACTACAGATGGTAAGACAGAGCGAGTGCTACATCAAGACAGCAGTATTAAAATGAAAATCTGTAAAATGCCTCATGGATAGAAAAGTTTAGACGAAAACGTTCTGATGGAGATGATGTGTCACTTTACCCTCTCAGTAAAGCCTGATGGGTGGCTAGTGTGTACAGTAAGCCACAACAGCAAGCAGACATTTAATGGTTTTGTTTCTTTAAGACTCTGGGATCTCCCCTTGGGAGTGAAGCCTGCAGTGTACTTACAGCAGCGTCTTTACAGTCCTGCCTCCAACACGTAGGCACTTGCCAGTGTGAGAAAGGACCCAGCTGAACCAAAGACTGACCTACTGTGTGTCCACAAGGCCGGCCAACAAAGACGACCTTTCAGCACTTAGCAGCTTCTCTCTGCAGCAACGTTTAAAGCAATTCTCGATCCACTGCCAGAGGATCAAGTGCACAGGCCTTTCATACCATACCAACTCAATCTCTGTCTCTGCTATTAGGTGGCAAAGCAGGGTGAAACTGACATTCACCTTTTTACTTTGATTCACAGAGGTGCCACCAAAATACCCAGCCAAACACAGCATTCAGCAAACAACAGTACCAGCCAAAGACTCACTAATCATTACATGCCATCCTTCAGAGCTTAGCATTTAAAATTGGTTGTTACAACAAAGCAGATTAAAAACTACTTTCGTCAACCAGATTACATTTGTTATCCCAAGAAAATAGTTTTATTAGTTTCTTGGTAAAACAACAATCTTCACTTGACCGGGCATAAAGAAATTTATATTACACACTCTCCCTCTGTCTTCGTTTTCTCATCTACTCATTACTGTATATCAGAGTTTCTCCAAGAGATGTTGTCCAAAATGCACCATTAAATCAGGCTCTAGTCTATATTAAAGTCTATAATAGACCTGCAAGGAGTACTTAGCAAAGCAGAATAAGCACACTTTAATCTTTTTTTTTTATACCATTCAAATGCAAAAGAATTTCTACTTTTTTTTTTAAAACACATATTTAGTAACATTTGTGTTACTAAGTCAGAGGCTGAGTAAACAAGCAGCATGAGAACATCTGATATGTTTCATGTGACATTTATATACTAAACAATTAGTGAACTGTTTGAAAACTGATTGACAGATTGATACATGTAACAAACAGCATATTTTCTGATTTTGTCATTTTTACAGTGATCAATGAAATCCGTGATAAAACAACAATATACAACTCATGTCAAACTTATGTTCATAGATAACAGGACTGTCATTTGTTTTAGTCTGCCAGGAAATGCTCAGCAACAGCCTCTGACAAATCAGATACCCTACTTGACAGGCAGTGACACTCACGGGGTTACCCCGGAGAGCTGTGAGATCAGGGACAGACAGAAACAAGTGGACGGGGAACTATCTGCAGTCTGGGTGAAGGGAGAAGCCTTCTTCATGTCAACACCAGTAATGCCCAGAGCTGTGCCAGCTGTTAAGTGTCCTGACCCATCCTGGCTCTACTATTAGGGTATTCCCATCTCTGGGAATGAACCTAAGATGCCACGAAACAGCAGTGTGTGTGCGTTTTATTTATTTATTTATTTTTTATGTATTCACTGAATTTTCTTTCCCGTGTCTGTCCTTTCTTCTATACCCATACGTACACAACCTGCCAACAAACTCACCCAAAGCTACACATGTGCAAACACAAAACATCAACTGTAATTTTACTGTTACATGTTGCTGTTTTTCTGTGTCTTTCTAAAATATCAGATAAATAAAAGCCCAGTAATAACACTGATGCTGAAAATGTACGCCTACAAAAGATAACGATAGTGAACCTGAAAGGAAGCAACAGAAGTCGTAATTTTAACTCTAAAAACAACATGAAAATACACATCAACAACAAAACAAAAAAAGTCCTTAATAACCCCGAGTCTACAGAGTCAAGTCGGGTCTGATGAGCCCTTTGGCAGACTTCACCCTGTTGTTATTTTACAGTCTGAGATGTTGGGTCCAGTAGCCACGAGATCCACATAGTGGTGTTACAGCCCTAATGCCAGATCCAGATATAGCTGGACACCATGGGGATAAAAATACCCAAACAGATGGGAGGGTTCACAGGCAGAGGGGGAGAGGAACCAAGCACAATTAAAGACTTCAGACAAGAGGAGGACTGCAATTACAGCTGTTTGCTAACCTCTGCCTTCTAGTGGTTAGCACAACCTTTAGTTAATACCCATTCAGAGATAACGACCTCCCTCAGAGACAGAAACGTTAACGTTAATCATATATAAATCATATGCCTAGCCCCAACAGCTTCAGTATTAACACCTACTTAGAATGGGAGTTAGACCTCTTCTTCTAGACTGACCAAATTTCAGGGGAAAAACAGATTTCAAACATCAAAGTGGTACAAGTGGCAACAAATTTATGGTGAAGAGAAAAGTTGAAGTGCTGAGGAAATGGCTGAGCTGTCACAGGCTGCCCCAGAATCAAGCAATCAGAAAACAAACAGGCCTTGACATTTCATGTGGTTTTCACAGTCTGTTTGAAAGCTACTAAACCAGTGCCGCTGGGGAAAAAAACACCGTTCATGCTGACACAAAGCAAGTACACTACTGACTGAGCTTAAGGCCTGTGTGGGATTATTTAATAAGGGCCTACAAATGAATTAACATTACTCTAATGACGAAGAAATTGGTGAAAGGGAAGGAAGTGTAAAAATGATCTTTACAAGAATTGCTACTGTGCATGAAGTGACAAAGGTTACTAAAGAAAAAAAACAGACAAACAAACACTGAAATGCACTTAAGAAAAATGTTCTTTCAGTCGCAGTTTCTTCACCTCATCCAGAGGACAGCTGACTCAAAAGCATACAAGAGCAGGTCGTGGGAAAAGGGCCCCGTCTGATTGTTATTTACTTCCTGTGTATCTCACTCTCAAACAGTCAAGTGCACAATGAAACTGGGCTGTAATTAAGATAATAACTTTTCACAATAGAGATTTATCAGAATAAGTTATTTGAGGACACCTGGAACAGTAGGTTTTTGTTTTCAATTTCAAGAGATAGTTCAAGAGATACTTACCAACTTAATGGCCACATATTCGTTAGTATAGAGATTTTTTCCCAGCCGCAGTTCTCCAAAGTTTCCACAGCCAATTTTTTTACCCACGCGGAAGTTTGGACCAACCATTAGAACTCCAGAATTGCTCCCTGTACTCCTGCCCCCATGTCCAGGCCTGCTGCTTGTTGTCTTAGACATCTTTTTCCCTTCCTCTGTCTCTCCCTTGCCCCCTCTCTTGTCAAAATCCATAAGCTTGTGATACCCTGGCCTCTCCACGGTTATTTTCCAGCCATGCAAACCATAGAAACTCCAATGACAATGGAGACTGTTTTAGGGAGGGGGGGGGAGACGCCTCACAGGACAGAGGAAAGGTGTTGCTGTTAAAATGCAAAGCGGTTCAGAAGACACTTAAATGAGCCAAAACTGCAGCCGAATGGACCCGTGTGTCTATTGGACAGCTTTTTCCCTTTTTCTTCGTTTACCAGAGGGGCTTCTTTGTTGTGCGTTTCTCCACTCCAGTCTCAGAGCATCATGTCCCCGCCTGACAAATAGGCAGGTGATGTTAGGATGTGTCCAAAGACACACATGCAACACTAGTCATAAAAAAGCACTCGGAAACGCAACTACTGCATCCACAAGGCCACTTGGGAACATCTCCTGGAGTGCCTCATTCCTTCTGGTCAGCCTTCAGTGACACTTTGGACGCTCTCCATGATGCAGGGACACAGCTTAGCGGGCAACCCGGAATTACACTGACAGCAGGAACGAACAGTCTGGGGTGATGTTGGTTTGTTATCTGAAAAAGAAAAACATGGCCAGAAATCAGTCCATAGGTTGTGATGTATTTTGGTATTGTCTCGACTAAGAGCCCAGGCCATCATTTACACACAACCCAATCATTACTCACGCTTACAACTGAAATTAGCTTGTTTGGAGATGGACAATTTGGACTGTAATTGCAGAAATAAAAGCTCTGCAATGGCAGGTACCTGCCATAACTTTACAAACCATCTAGAAAACAATTAAAAATGGTAAAAATGCTGGTAAATTTAGCAAATTAATCACAACTTGTTCCAGTAACACTTGGGCCTTTATGAAATTAACATTTTCGACAGGGAAAAAAACAAACAAACTCAAGCTTTTTGCATGAGTATCACATTATATCTACAGTGGCTGTTCCTTACTACGGCTGAAATGAGATCTTTATGCGGACTGACGCAAAGCAAATTCAATAAAGGAATCAATACGAGGAGAACTGTTGACCTCAGACATGAGAAATTACAGATAAAATATTCTAAAAGAAACCATGTAACAATGTGCTGTGTGTTTATAATGAAGACCAACATAGCTAATACTGCTAAATAACCATCTTGTTGTCGTCTTTCACAACCACACGCAGGCGTCTCTGCACAGAGCCACTCCGTCATGTCCATGATCTAAGATGTTGCTGAAGAGAGCAGGTAATGCAGGCGCTAGCTTGGGGCAGCTACTCTTTCCTATGGAAAGGCACTTACACAGATCAATGACTGCTGTAATGCTTCATCTAATCACAACATTTGCATCACTGGACAACATTATTGGAAAGATTCAGAAACAGTCTAGTCCACAGCTAGCTCAGCCGTGTCTGACCATCACAAGATAAAAAACACAGTATCATCAGGTAGAAGTTTGCTAGGGATGAGCGAGTAATTTTTTGTGTTTAAATACGTCTTTACTACAACGACACATTTGTCAAAGTGACTCTGGCCAATGCAGAATTCATTCCAAAGACTACAATGAGAAAAACAAAGCACTATATTATATATATATACCTAGGTTGCTTTGCATATGGTGACACTTACTACAGGAATTGTGGCGAAACTAACCTTGCCGGTCACGAGATAAGATGAACACTGTGTGACGGAGTAAAACTTATCAGCTTGTGCATGCCAAAAGATGACAGCAGCTCCTGGAATGGTAGAGTGCATTATGCGAGGCACTTCATTTTTCAAGCTGCCGGAGGCCAATACACTATCAACACATTTAAAAATAACAACATGATGTAAGGACATTGGGCAAGTATGGGAATATTTCTGAAAAACACCAATGACCTCAGTATCTTGCTGTCTTGGTTAACTTTCCGTAGGCTGCCCATGTTTTCAGTCTGTCCCATTTAAGGAAGTGGTGCATTGTTTTTCCCATGACAGCTATTTGACATAACTATAGAGTTGTTAAAAACATGCAAAGCGAACAGCGACATATTTCACGTATTGAGAAGGTATTTGGAAGCACAAAGACAGTCCATTTATGAATGATCCCCCTCCAAAAGAAACCTCCCTAAGCCAGATAATGTCCCTAAGGCCAGTTTCATAAAGCTAACTAGCAATAACACTAGCAGGACCGTTTCAAACCGTGTAAATACGAACACAAACACCCACAGAAAATACCCCAAAATGCAAATGAGCAGCGATAACCAAACCGGAATGGCAAATTTTCCCTCGTCACTTACCTTCCTTTTTTAGCTTAGGTTAATGATAGCTAGTTGCTAAGTTGCTACTGTCTTAACAGCTGTCATTTAGCGTTAGTTTCGGACAACCCAAAGACTCGCTTTCTATACTTGTTAGCCGATTTGTTTCCCCATAAAGAACGATAAATGGAAAACGCCGTTTTAAAAAAGTGAATACCGTCGGTATGAGCTTTAAGAAAGGCTCTGTAACATTACACTTGCTGGCTCGGCGGGCAAGGCCAGATACTCTAAAGCTATCGTAGCGCTGGCTAGGAAGCCCGAGTTAGCTTGACATCCTTCAGTCGTAGCTAGCTTGACTATTTAATTAAGAATTAACGGTAAGTGAATGTAAACATTTAATTTCAAGTTGTAGTTAAGCCAACATGTCACACAGTTGAATTAAGGTAACCTAGCTCGTACCTGCCAAAAACACCGATCCTCTTGGCCCAACGTCTGCTTAAAAAAAAAAAAAACCCCAGCCGACGATGTAACGCTAGCCAATTTGTTAACAACACAGTATCACAACAACACGGGCTACCTGTTAGCAAACACATTCAAATTAAATAAGTCGAAGCCTTACAGAGAATCAAATATTCATTGACTGACATTTCCTGAGCTACATATACGTGGCTAGTTAGTAAATGCTTAATAACCGAAAAATAACGTCCCAAGCGAGGCTGTTACAAATATTATCGACTGAAAAAAATACTATAATATAACTATATATATATATATATATCTTTGAGTCACCTCATAATGTCGCTTTTATGTTAGTTCAGATAACAGCTACAGCCATTACCCGGACCACTGCCGGGCAACTCCTTAATCCTAAACAAGCGAATGCACACCAACGGCAGCCCGGGATCTCTTACCGCTTAGCTCTCAAGCTAGTCATTTAGCAAGCTAGCACGCCAGGCACGTTAATAAACTGCGTTGAGGCTTTTTGAAAAACAGCCGCTGGGAATGAAGCCCTGTCACGGAAGAATCGTTACCTTTAAATGTTAGCTATCGAAACGCAGTCGAAGTCATGGTTCTGCGTTCGTCGCTATCTTCCTCGTCTGGTGCCTCTTGTCCTCAAGTTGCTATGATTTCACTGTTGTCTCTTTAAGCCTCCCTTAACTGCACAGCGTCACCCGGGCTCACGCCACACGGCGCTACGCTGGAAAACCGGCGCAACCGCTTTGGTGAATAACCAGAAACATCAGGCGATCGTAGGTCCCCGACTACGTGCTCCAGACCAGACCGGTTGCTTTTGATTGACACATGTGCACCACCGGTAAAACTGAAACTAACATGCTGCAAGTGTAGAGCTGCTCAGCCCGGCGAACATCTACTACTACCGTCCTTTTAAAACGTACTAGTACTGATACTACACTGTAATTTACAGTGTAGTACTAACCCTTTTACAGTCTGTAAAAATACTCCTTTACAGATAAACAGGGAGCATATAGTTGAAGCATACATTAGGTTGTAAAAGTCCTTCAAGCTATTCAGTCCGTTGTGACTGAGGCAATAACGCAATGGTAATAATAATAATGATAATTGGTACTAATTATTGTTATTAATAATTAATTCATGTCAAACATCACTTAGATTTTAAAATATTTTAATGAAAAAAAGACAAATATACAATTTTACTAACTTTATGTACAATTTACAACAGTTTACAATAATTACAACATATTTCCTGAATTATGGGATAATTTACATGTAAGTGACTGAAACTGTCTAGTAAAGGTAGTGGAGTGAAAAGTGCTGAAAATCTTGGATCAGAAGTTAAAAGTTACATAAAATCCTCACAGTACGAATACCTCAACGTGAGCTGGTATTTGTACTTGCTTCTTTTTTTTAAAAACCACTGGAAATATCAGAGTGTTAACTTCATTTCCAAAATGTCTGAGTAGGTTCTCAGTCACCCAGGCCATTGTAGTCTAAGGTGCTTGGAAAGAAAAGCGACTGGACTTCTTTAAGTTTCTTGAAGACGTTTCACTTCTCAGCCGTGAAGCTTCTTTAGTTCAGAAAGAGCTTAAAGAAGTCCAGTCGCTTTTCTTTCCAAGCTACTCACACTTCATTTCCAATAGTTCCACTGTTTTCCTGGCTATGGTCTATACCATAATCCTCTCTTGAAAGAGAACTCTGAGTCTAAAATAAATAATAGAAAGAGCAGGTGCCAGTGATTTTATTTAACATTTCTATGCTTCAGTGCTCAGTTACAAAATGACTTTTCCCAAATGCTTTTGCTATGTTTTTTAATTGTCTACCCCTAATCCTAGTACTTAGCAGTGTAACAAGCTATATAGCGCTGAGCAGATTAGGAAAAATGAACTGTGAAAGTACAGAGTGTTACAGCCGTTTATGCAGACAGGTGAAACTCACAGAATATAAACGTATACTTTCAGCAGGTTTCAGGTTTGTCTCTCACAGGACTGCTTCAGGTGTCCACATCACTTACAGCCCCAGATGCGGATGTTGCACTGCTTTACTAGAGCAAGGAGTCTGAAGGGAGACGCTACAGTTTTTTGTAAGTGACAATGTAGGAATCCCGAGGGTGGAGCTGTGCTGCTGTATGACGGGCCAGAACACCGGAGGGAAGGCGAGCTCAGTGGACAGCACTCCTACAACTGGCTGGTGAGGTGTGTGACTGTAACACTCTCCTGCCATGAAGGGGAAAAGCGGAGGAGAGGGAAGTTGTAGGGGGCACTGTGAGGTGTCAGAGTCTAAATCCCTGCTTTTGGTCACATCAGGAGGAGGAGGCGCCGATGGGATGCTCCTGTCACCGCATGATAAGGTGATGTCCTGTTTGTCTCTAGCCTTGATGTCCTCATGTCCTGCTTTGCTGTGATGTGGAGCTTCCTCCAGACTCTGGTCTCTGGACAGAGGGGAGCATCGTTGACCTTTACGAAACTTTGCCCTCCTGTTCTTGAACCACACCTGGATGAGGAAGACAGGATGACCGATGCGCCACAAATAAGTGAGGTGTTTTAACACTATTAAAGCTTAATGCAGTGACCCTCAAAGTTAAACATGCATTTTTATTTTAAGATTATACTTGAGGTGTGCTCTCACCTGAATGCGAGCCTCGGGCAGGTTTATACAAACAGCCAGCCTCTCTCTCATGCCAACATCTGGGTACTGCGTCTGCTGGAAGGCTTTCTCCAGAGCCTGCAGCTGCGACACTGTGAATGCAGTGCGGCTGCGGCGCTGCTTCTGCTGGTTACCATAGCGAGCCTCGAGGATGAGCTCTGGCAGGAAGAAAATGGGAGCAGCACATCACTTCAGGCACGTTTTCAGCAACTTACAGAGGATCAACAAAAATGTCAACAATATCAAAAGGACAACGACAGTCACTTAAACCAGGAATAATTCTTAAGCACCATGTTTAAATGGGTCACTATGAGTTTGGGATGGAATTCACTGTGTTTTCTGTACTGGACAAACATATCTTTTTCTCACACTGTACAAATATTTAAACAAATAGCACTAGAAATTGACCCAGCACTATAAAATATACTTATATTGATGTTTTTGTAAATATTACATTATAAAGATTACATTATAATCATGCAGCAACGAGACTGCTTCCCTGAGGCTCAATATCGATCATAATTTGTGTAATTAATCTGAAAGTAATTGTAGTTATTGATATATGCTGTGCTGTAAAAGATTAATGTACATTGTGAGAAAAAGAAAAAAGTAATCCCACCGTGGTGACTGACCCACCTGCCAGCCTCTCCGCCACAGTGAGTGTGTGCACTGTGGGACCTGCTGCAGAGTATGCGTGGTACTGCTCCGCCATCTGGTGGCGCAGGTCCACCAGCATGGAGTTAACTCCGTGGAAGGGGTACACGCCGCCGCCGGACGTCCCGCAGAAATTCAAGGAGTTCATGCTGAACCTGAAGAAACAGAGAGACTTCATTACCTTCAAGATTGTGCGTTTTTCCCCTTTACTGTGGTATCGATGCAATAACTGCCCACCGAAGCGAAGTTAAGATTAATCGAAAATCCAGAGTTTAAGTCTCCACATCACCGCCAGCTCCTCTCCAAACGAATTAACTACTAATTAAATGGGAACACGGCGACACTTGTCTTATTATAAATTAATAAAAGACCATATTATTTTTTTATTGTAATCAAATCTGAGCGAGAATGAGCATAAACTCTATTGATATAAACTCCACTGATTTCTCTGAAATGACGTCATTATTTACGCTGATGTAACAGAATCTGAAGTTCTGGGCGTAAACGGGTCAAAGTAGATAAAACGGTATAATTGCCTCTTTCGATAATAGTGATATCAGTGTGAACGGATCTAGGATCACGTCTGCACTCGTGGGTTATCACTTCTGCTTCTGCTTTAGAGCTATTTCTGTTTTAACTGCCGTTTAACTCGCAGTTTAGAGCTCAAAAGTCTTAGCTCGTAAATTCAGTGATATCATCACGCAGCCAGGAAGCTAAACTAGAATAGTAAGTTGCTATCCGGGTTAAGACGTTACTCAAATCTCCTCCTTTCTTTTATTTTTACCTGATACCCGAATCCAAAGCAGAACCGTGAGATCCAGCTCCAAGTGCGTCTTTACGCATGCACACAGGTCGGCCAGTAAACGGTAGTCCAGGTTTTTTTTAGTCCAATTTGGGCCTTATATCCTCGCAGAGCAGCGCTCTTTGTCGTGGCATGGGCTTAATTCTCCCAAACCATTCTCACCCACGGCTATTTAAGAAGCGTTTACCCAGGCTCCCCTCAGCCATTAGCCAATAGAAAGAAAGGTATTAGCCGGGATTAGGTGGGATGAGGGGAGAGAGGGGGGATGCGAGGAGCTCAAGTTTTTGAAACTATTGAACTTGAGAGATTTATGCCAAGGATCTCCCTATAAGAGCGCGTTTCATTCCCTCCCTTTAAAACAATTAAAACAATGTGGTCGGCTAATCTCCGAGGCAGGGCAGATTAAAATAACAGCCTTTGATTGTCCTCTCCTTCTCGGTCCCTCTTTCTCCCATACCGCTGGTTTTGACAGTCTCCCCCTCGGAGGGGGTTTTCTTTAAGGGTTTGTTTTGCTAACAGGGACCATATTTTGCCTATGAACTGTCACAATGTGAAGTTAATCTGAACCCTACTCTGCGAGAACAATTTATAAGCTCCAGCTGAGCTAAATTAGAAGTCCTCTCAGGGACACAAGACCAAATCAAGGACTGCATCAAATCACCAGAAAGAATAAAGTCCTCCAGCACCAAATGACCAGTGTGGAGCCAGAATACTTTCACTGCCATCACTTCTGGTGGACTTTTTTAAAACCATGTCTAGTTTAACTGCAAACACTTTGAAGTATTTCCACTTTTGTTTTCAGCTCATGGTGTCACGTTTGGACTCTCAAGGCTTAGAAAGAAGACACGCTGATGCTCATTTCTGCAAAGAACTCATAAAACAAAATTTCTGAGACTTCAGTTCTGGCAAAGCTCCAAAAACACTGGATGCCCTCATGTCCCAGAATGCATCTCTTTGGTGTCTTCATCACACTTTATCTGCATCCTTGTTCTTTCACCTCCAGGTTTTCTGTCACAAGTTTGTCATTTCAAACCAAACTGGACAGTTTTATAATGAGACAACACCTCAATAGGAAACTTCACAACAGCGTATCAGAGCCCAGATTCTTGGGATGAATGCTGACCTAACAATTTAGTACGGGAGAAGACGTTTCAGAACTGTTTGTGTCAGTGTAACAAAATCCAGGTTTCTCCGTATACTCATACTCCAATGACCAAGAAAAAGGAAGATATTTCTTTTGTTTTAAAGCCCAAAATGCAAAATTCATTTCTACAAAACAAACTACAGTCTTTGTTCTTGGATTGAAAACAACGTTAACAATGAGTAAAATGAGGAAACCTCATCAGACGAGATCTTCTTCCAGGTTAGACAGAGATTTAACGGTGCTGAATGAGTTAATAGAGTTTATCCCTTAAACCTATTCCACAGTAAAGTGGACAGATACAGTGAGGCTAATAAGTCTGTGTTTTCAGCAATGACTGTGTGGATACTTGATGCTTGATGCAGTCTGAAGAGTGTCCTGCACCGCAGACTGTTTTCATTTAGAAATGAAGCAAAGACCTGCATCAAACATGTTTTGATGGCAAAACAAGTCCAAAAATCGATTGTAGGTAAGGAAATTGCTCACATTTGTGTTGATACTCAGCAATAAAACACCTGAGCTGCCCCCCTGCTGGTCCCATGCCGTGTACTTGAGGGTTGACCACGGTTCACTTCACTTGTTTCCCATTCAAACACAATCAACTGCTTAGACTTCCAAAATATGTGAAAATGTTTGTGCTCCTCTCTTCCCTGTGTTTTTCCCTCTTCTCCTTTCACTGTTCTTGGCTGTCAGGCTATATTAGTGTCCGATAGAAATAAGTCATTTAGAAGAGGCTCTGTCAGCCAGCCCCTCAGCCCCACTAAAAGCTCCAGGATTAGGTCCCGGAGGCCTTTGTCTCCACAGCCCGCAGGATTAGGGGAGATTTACTGCGAGGAGAGAAAAAAAGTAGTTATTTCATGGCACTTTCATGATGAAACCTGGCCAAAGCTGTGTTGGCTGGGGGGATTAGAGGCACACAAAGAGTGTGCTTGTGTGTGACCCTCCCCATCCCAGAGCAGCCACCACCGACTCACTCACGAGCCCCCCTCGCTTGCCCACCCACCCCCACTCCGGTTCATTTCCCCCTTCTGCGGGCCGGCAGGGCTCGTCCGGGTTCACCACCTACCCATCGACACAAGCGAGGCGCTTCATTTAGCGTCTTTAAACTCTCAACACCCAGTGACCTTTAACCGACGCTGTTGCCGTATTTCATTGGTGTTTATGTGAATGCTGTCCGAGAGAGGGTACCGTCCCATCACCGAGGTAAAAACTGCTTTTGCCTCGAGGACCGGAGTGCAGAGGTAAATGAGAAGTTAGTGGATTTCAGCCCCTCCTGTAGTGTTTAAGACCACTTAGGAGGAGTTATCCTGCTCTTAGAGGATCCACTTACACATGCGTGGATTACGGCGAATAGAAGACAAAAGGCCGAGTCACAGCACTGACAACAGCCTCACCGCCGAGCAGGTGTTATGCAGGTTTAATAACTGTTGTCACATAGCAGAGGGAATTACAGGGACCCTGCTGCTCTGCTCCCAATAAGAAAATGATGGTGTGAACGGTTTACAGTTTCCATCCTGCTCGGTGTCACCAAACATGACATTAGTGCTCGTACATACTTCACACGCTGCTTCAAACACACAGCAGGCTGTGTGTGTTAGTCAGGGGATAAGTCAATTCAGACAAAGCTAATGAGTCAGCCTTTACTAGGAGGTGTTAATGGTAGCGGTTAATATTCGCTTTAGAAATCATTAACAGGAACAACTTTTTGGGTGTGGAGAAAATGACATAATCCATGGTTTAAAGCCAAGAATGTTCAAAGTGAAAAACTTTTGAATATAACTTATTAACCCAGCCAGTGCTCCCCTTAAAGTTCAAAATGTGTTTCCTTCACCAGTGTGAGTGCAGTCTCATCAGGACTGGTCCTCCAAACCAGCTGTGAGGTCCCAAATCCTGTTTTTAACTTATGCATCTTAGTTGAGTTTAGGGGGGAAACCTATGAGCCTCCCACCGACAAACTGTCAAATATTTTGCAGAAAAAACAAAACTAGAGTAAATGATCTCGGCTTTTGATCGATTTCAGGCGTGCGCTCGCCTCCTGTTTGTTTTGGTTTTGGAGCCGTGCTTTTCTTCTTCTTCTTTTTATTTGGTCAGTAAGATGTTAACGCCTCCTGTTTAACAGATGTTTTATATAGTGGCCCAGTCTTTCTTTAATTACTTATCAATAGTGCTAATTTGTATTGACAAGGGCCTGTCAGGACGGGACCTTTGTAGTTGTCAGTTATCTTAAAGGACGGCCCCCTCGGACACCGAATGGATCGATTGGCGCGCAAAATACAATTGGGAGGCCTTTTGAGGGGGGGGGGCAAGAGTCCGGGAGCATGTGTGCAGAAGAAGGGAGAGCAGAGGATCTAAAGACTTCTGTGCAACACTCAGGGGAATCGATAGGGCCCGCTGGCCTTTGACCTGAGGGGGGACTGGGAGAGCGGCGGCGGCGGGTCGGTCGGTCCTCTTAAGTCCCTGTGAGTGCCAGGATCACGCTGAGGCCTGACACTGACTATGACACTCGGGGCTTAGAGTGACATTGACCTGGCTGCAAACACACACGAAAAGCTCAAATATACACACTGCGGCTCAGAAAAGGCAGTGAGGAGATGAGTTATGACAGCTACAAGCAAACTTTCACACACACTAAGAAATCCAGGAGGCCTGAATAACTTCTGCTTTACAACAATTAAAGTGCAATTCGAGTCCCGTTATCTTACTGTGATGTCCTCTGCAGCCCCTGGGAGCATGGTAATAAGCAGCCACACCGGCTGATCAATAAGGGGCTCAGTAAAGATCAGTCTCCTAATTGGAGCTATAGATTAAAGACAGGCAGGGAGGGACGGGCAGCTGTGTGTGTCCCCGGGGTCAAGGGCACCCGCAGCATGCTACACAGGGGAGCAGGGGTGAAGTCAGACCAACAGAGGGGAAACTCAGTGGGTCTTAAACCCAGTGACAATAAAATCTGTGTAAATAGTGATTTTGCTGCACTTTTAAAGGAGTTTGAAGCCTGTATGGACCAATGAGGAGCGAATACTTTACACAGGCAACCGCTGTTAAAGAAGTCCAGAGAGTGAGTGCTATGACCTGATGGAGGAACAGGGGGAGCAGCGTGCTTGTGTAGACCATTTATGAAGTTTTAATGTAGTCTAGGACAGGGATGTCAAACAGAAGGCTTGTGGTCCCGAAGTGGCCCAGTAAAGACTCCAATCCGGCCTCCTCGAAGGCTTTGAGAAATACGAAGGAAGGCATAGATTTGGAATTTTTAACTGTATTTTTTTATAGGTTTTACAGCTGCTGTTGCAATAAATATGATACCAAAGTAGTTAAGTGTAAAAGCCAGGTATTTGAACTATTTACAATTGAACCTTTTTTGGTGGTTCCACAGTAAAAGCAAAAAATTAAATAATTGAAAAATCAGCATATAATAATAATAATGGATTGGATTTATATAGCGCTTTTCTAAGCACCCAAAGCGCTTTACAATGCCACTATTCATTCACTCTCACATTCACACACTGGTGGAGGCAGCTACATATTAATAAAAACCTTGTGTTTTATAAATACAAGGCAGCCTCAGCAATGAAAAACCCAGATGTGCTGTTGAAATTGAACTTTTGTTCTTGTATTAAGACATCTCAGGATTCGATGCTTAGTTAAAGGTCTTGCACTGGTCTGGTCCATGATGTGAAAAGATTTTGACATCCCTGCTCCAAAGTCTCCATTTGTGCGCATGTTTCGAGTGCTTCCCTTTTCCTCTTTTTCCCCGAGGTCAGTCTTTTCCATTTAACCATCCACCCTCCTTTTTCCTCTGTGTTGCCAGTATGTTTGGGATCTTTCTCACTAATATTTTTGAAGTCTTGATTTGTGCATCTAACCAAACGAGACGTCCGAGTGTCAGTTTTTGTACATCGATGATGAAAATGATCGCTATTTACAGCCTACGAGCACTTGGCTCCAGGTTGCACCATGGAAGCAAAGGTCCACGAGAAAAGCTGTAGCAGCTCAATCATTTATTGTTAACGACTTATCGATTACAGACTCGATAAACTCCAACGTCAGTTTTAAGTCCATGCACGATGTGGGCAGTAAAGTGTTCCTTTGCTCCTCTCAGAGATAATGCAGCCCTCCGTCTCTCAGCATGTGGTCACTTTTGGGGTCCCGGCCTGCAGCTTCCCCCTCCTCCCACCACCACCAGTCAAAGGTGATCACGGGGGACAGAGAAAGAGAGGCACTGATCGAATTTGATAATGAAGACGACCCCTCTAAGCTGCTTTGCTCCACATGTTCGAAATCTCTGGAACACTCAATAAACACTAGGAAGGCCCCTCCCTGTCACTGGAACATTGTGTAGGTATTGATCCCTGCTAACTGGCTCTTTTAATACCTGGGGTCCGTGGCCCGGCCTGGGGAAATGCATACTGACATGTGACGGGAGGAGCTTAATAGGCAAACACACTGAAGAAAGGATGGGCCTCACAGTTTAGCATTTCTCTCTTATCTTTTTTTTTTTTTTTACGATTTACACATCTGCTGGAGAGAGGAGAGTTTAAACTGGCTGCACCTGCTGTTTTAAAGGGACATATAGCCTGCAAGAGGCCCGGGCCTGTCCCGAGAAAAAGCTGTCACACTGTCACAAAGCATTTGTGCAGCTGCGGTGGAAGAAGTCCTCTGATCTGAACAACGGCAGAGACCCACGACAAGTTAAAAGTCCCAAGCGGCAAGAATTCAGCAAGAATCTGCAAAATCTAAAGTTCGAGCACTTGCCGTGCAAACAAACAGCACCTGTGTGACGGATCCAAGTGGAAGTGGCTCCTCGCTGTTTGAACTCATTTTAACTACTTTGCTGCAAACTTTAAGCAGGAAACTTTCCTCGTTCCTGGGGCAATCGTGGCTCAAGAGTTGGGAGTTCGCCTTGTAATCGGAAGGTTGCCGGTTCGAGCCCCGGCTCGGACAGGCTCGGTCGTTGTGTCCTTGGGCAAGACACTTGACCTGTTGCCTACTGGTGGTGGTCAGAGGGCCCGGTGGCGCCAGTGTCCGTCAGTGCGCCCCAGGGTGGCTGTAGCTGCCATCACCAGTGTGTGGATGACTGGTTGTGTAACGTGCTTTGGGTCCTTAGGGACGAGTAAAGCGCTATAAATGTACAGACCATTGTTTTTAAGTTCTTTTCAGCAGCTCGAGAGCTCATAGAAATGATTTCTTTCTTCCCTGACTGTCGAAATGTCGAGCTCAGTTTGTTAAATCAAGCTTAAAATGAGACATTGCTCGAGAAAACGCACAATAATGAAAACATCCTGTATCACACTTTAAAGTCCCCTTTATGGAAAAAATACAGGATTGAGAATATTATGTGTTGGAAGTTTAAGCTTTGCTGCACTGAAAGGTGTGTGTGTTCAGTTTAACACTAAATAGTGATGTCACAAGTGGTTCAACCGGATACTTAAACCAGTGCGACACGTGAGGCCTGAGAATAGATCTTCTGTGATGTAGGAGCCACCTCTGGTTGGACTAAAGGGGAGAGGAACCTCGCAATCAAACTTCTTTAGGCCAAAAATCATGTCGAGGTCTGACTGTTGTTCAGAGAACAGCACTTCTAGTTCACAGAGGGGTTCTTCTAAATAACAGCCTTAAAAGAAATAAGAGGAATCACAGGTGTCACACTGAATTCAACAGCAACAGGAGAAGTTTCACAAGTCTCATCTTCACATGAACTGACTCCTAAAAGTAAGTAAGCTTAAGTAACTTTTATATTTTTAGGACACCCCAATGCTGGGTCCGCCTCCTGAAACACTCAGCTGCTGGAAACGCGATGTTGACGTGACTCGATGACATCATTTCTGCCCAGACGTCAGCTGCACAGAGTTCCCGCCAGCGTCCCGCTCTACCACGTTCCCTGGGTGTTGGCCGGTTCCCGACTGAGAATTTCACTGGATTCATTTTGCTTGGTGACGTGGGTGTGTTACGATGACAGGAGCATTAGGAAAGGACAGCACAGGATTCATGACGGGCAGGTGTACGGGTGTGTATGGAGCCAGAAATCAGAGCAACATTTAGTTTAAACTAATAGATTTTAATAGAAAAAGATAAACCACCAAAAAAACAAACAAAAAAATGAATACAAAAGGAAAACTGCTTATTTACAGCACTGGTAGTTTTTCAGTCATTTCCAACATAAACAGCACAGGTTCGCTGATGCTCACTAAACGGAGATTTGTTTGCCGTTAACAACCAAGGCTTAGTTCAACAACTGAACATAATTGAGTCAATTTACGGAGGAAAAACAAAGTCACACCTGCTGGCACGACTATTCCTGTGGTTCTACTTCACGCAGAGACAGCGGTGGATCGTCACTGTTGTGCCTGGACACTAAAACACAGAGAATCCTTCAGCTACACCAAACCAAACAGGCTGACTTTGTTTTGTTTTCTGCCCTCCGACACGATCAAGTATTTCTCAGGTTTGAGAGGCAACCGACAAAATGATCTCTGTTAGAAACGCCGTATAAACAGAGCGCCAGCGACAGGAAACTAGGTGCCACGCAAAGAAGCGCATTTACACGGCTGAAAGCACCTAAATGTAACTAAGAACAAGTAACACATCGTTCGTTACGACACACATGAGGTACTCAGACTTGGGCCCTAAACAACAAGAGCATTTCTATAGTGCAATTTAGGCCGAAGGTACAGCCTGCCATGAATATCATAATAATTCCTAACGTTCAGTGGACAATGACCCGACTTTCTAACTAGTTCTCCCGTGGAGCGGTTTTAATTATGAGTAGGTTTGAGGCCTTAAACAGAAATATGTGTTAACTTACATTATTTAGAACTGAAGAAAAATCCGCGAGTGAAAACATAGTTAATCGAGGCTCCTATTGCTTTGAGGGGGGCTGACAGCTCGCATCTCAAACACAGTAGACAGCATCATCACGAGCTCCTCTCATCATCATCACGAGCTCCTCTCATCATCATCACGAGCTCCTCTCATCATCATCACGAGCTCCTCTCATCATCATCACGAGCTCCTCTCAGCATCATCACGAGCTCCTCTCATCATCATCACGAGCTCCTCTCAGCATCATCACGAGCTCCTCTCAGCATCATC